CGATCAGAAAAATTTACTCTCCGATTTTTATGCGGAGAAAAAAAAATTAAGCTCAAGTTCAGTAAAGCTCAAAAATAAATGTCACAGGCGTTGAAACAAAACAAACGGAAAAATTGCAGTGAAACAAAATAAGTCAAAGTGGCTATCTATCTCCAAAATGTCTGTGTTATAACAGCTTTTCACTGAAGTTACCGACAATTCGGCTAGCATCGCCATCTCTGAGAAACATGGGGGGGTCGGTATGGTACGACCGGTCGGTATGGGACCACCCTCCCCTACATCATTAGATAGATTTTCGATGTTTGGCGATGTACTCCTCATCTCATTAACCGTTGCAAATCTCCGTTCCTTCATAGGCCGCTTTAGTTTTGGGAACAAGAAAAACTTACATGGGGCCAATTTCGGTGGATATGGCGTTATATGTAATAAGCAGGGCTAACAGAGTTATGTTTTTAAATGAAAAAATATTTATTTCCATATTTTCGCCTTTTTTCCTATAAATCCATATTTTACACAATCACTTGAATAAATCCATATTTTGAGCATTTAAGTGTCTGAAAACCTATAGAAAGATATGTTTGACTCAAATATTATGAAATTTCTGTCGTTTGCCTTAAACAAAAAAAAACAAAACATCGTTGCGTCGTTAATCAATCAAAATATGTATCATCGAATGTAACAATTGAGCGTTCATTTTCATCATAATATGATTATATTATAAATTTTTATTATAAACACATATTGAGTGACAAACGCCGTAGTTTTGTTTTTACTAATCTGACACAACATGTCATATTGTTCTGCAATGATCTTTGAGACAAACGGCGCACTTTTGTTTGTAGCGATTTCTAATTGTTCATTGTCATAAAAAGTTAATATGATCGATATAATCGTCTACGTTTATCCATTTTTATACCTATATTTATCCCTTTTTTCGTCTATATTTATCCACTTTTTTCCATATTTGTCAACTTTTTCGTCCATATTTCGTCCATATTTCTCTATTTTTTCGTCCATAAATCCATACATATTTTTACGTTTTTAAGAACATAACTCTGTTAGCCCTGGTAATAAGTACATAATTATAATAATATTAGAGTAAGAGTATAATAATTTCAGTCAGAAGATTGCAACGCAGTGAAGGAGGCACTTAAGACCCCATAAAGTAGGTATATATTTTTTTGATCAGCATCACGATCAGAATCAAAATACGACTGTACGTCTGTCCCCCTGCCCGTTTCTACGCAAACTAGTCTCTCAGTTTTGTTGTATAGTTGTTGCACGCAGCATATATGTAAATCGGAACGTGCTGGATCCGGCGACGATATCGAATAGCTCCCATACGAGAGAACGAAAAAAAAAAATTATTACGCCGTTGTTTTTGACCAGATCGACTTGATTTCTTCAAGATGGCGTTTTCTAACTACTCTTGAATTTGGGATTAAATTTTATGAAAATCGGATAACTCTATCATATAGCTGCCATAGGAGAGATCGAAAAATATATATAGAATTAATGGAAATAAATTGATAACATCGTTGTTTTTTATCCCACGAGCATATCAAGTTTTTTAACAACCCTTAAAATGAAAAAAAAAGTTTCATAGAAATCGGACCACTATATCTTATAGCTGCCATAGGAAAGATTAAAAAATCTATATAGAAATAACGGAAATAAAATTATAACCTCGTTGTTTTTCATCAGACAATCATAATTTTTGGACTATAGAGTTTTCCAATGAGTCTTGAGTTACAAATTAAATTTCATCAAAATCGGACAACTATATCATATGGCTCTCATATGAACAATATGGAAAATTAATAGAAAAATCTTCATAGCTTCCATGTTGTTTAGCCTTTATGTATTTTGTTTGACATATTTAATGACTGTAAGGGTATATAAGCTTCGGCTTGTGGAAGCTAGCTTCCTATCTTGATTAAATCCGATTTGGTTCGTGTGTAATAGATAATTATAATTTAGGATATTATTTTATCTAAAATTTTGCCTACACAGGAATTTAATGAAATGGGTCTGTAGGAGGTGATGTCTGATTTTGTTTTATTGGGTTTTAAAACTGGTATTGTAAGACTGAGTTTGTAAGAATGGGGAATATGGCTCTTAAGTATTTGGTTATATTGGGCTATTATTCTTTTTTGTTGAATTGGGGAGCTGTTTTTATACCCTTGCAGAGCAAAAGGGTATTATAATTTCAGTCAGAAGTTTGCAACGCAGTGAAGGAAACACCTCAGACCCCATAAAGTATATATGTATATTCTTGATCGGCATCACGAGCAGAATCCGAATACGTCTGTCCGTGTGTCCGTCTGTCCTCCTGTCTGTTTCTACGCAAACTAGTCCTCAAAAGGTGTGTAGTTATTGCACGCAGTATATAAGTCGGAACGGGCCGGATCGGCCAACTATATCGAATAGCTCCCATACGAGAGAATGAAATAAAAAATTCTGACGCCGTTGTTTTTGATCAGATCGACTTGATTTCTTCCAGATGGTGTTTATTAACTACTGTCGAATTTCGGATTAATTTTATCAAAATCGGATAACTCTATCATGAAGCTGCCATAGGAGAAATCGAAAAATATATATAGAATTAATGGAAATTAATAGATAACATCGTTGTTTTTTATCCCTTAAATTGAGAAAAAAAATTTCATAAAATTCGGACAACTATATCTTATAGCTCCCATAGAAAATGGTCAAAAAATTTATATAGAAGTAAAATTATAACATCGTTGTTTTTTATCAGAAAAGCATGATTTTTGGAATATAGAGTTTTCTAACGACTGTTGAATTACGAATTAAATTTGATCAAAATCGGACGACTATATCATATAGCCGTCATTTGAACCAAAATCGAAAATATGAAAAATGAATAGAACATCGTCATAGATTTAATGCTGTTTAGCCTTTATGTATTCTGTTCGACATATTTGATGACTGCAAGGGTATATAAGTTTCGGTTTGCCGAAGCTAGCTTATTTTCTTGTTCTAATTTTAATTTCTCTTTTAAGGAGTGCATTTAATCTGCGGTAGTTAATGATGTTAGTTTGAATTATGTCTCTATTAAGTGTTTTCCAGGCGCTTTTCTTGGCTTGGTGTAGCTTTGTTAGTTCCTAGTTCCACCAAGGAACTTTTTGTTTTTGACGAGTGGGAGATGTTTGTGGGATACTTAGGTGGGCGCTTTGCAAGATTATTTTATTTATGTTTGCGGTTTCTTTGTTGACATGTGTACATATAGGGTAGGTGTTGTTGATGTTGGTGGTAAGGTTGTGGAACTTTTCCCAATTAGCTTCTTTTATTTTAAAAATTGGCTTGCTGAATTGTTGTTGTGGCTCTATAGGGAAAAAGGAGATAAGAAATGGGAAATGGTCGCTTCCGCAAGTGTCGTCGAACACCTTCCAATTTGCAAAAGAGGTCAATGTTGCAGATCAAAAGAAGAGATCTATGTGGTGGATTTATCGTTTAGGAGTGTAATTTGTGATTGTTCTACGAATTTGGCTATTGTTTTTCCTCTTGTGTTTGTTTGTGGTGATACATAGTTAGGGTGAAAATCGTTGTTTTTCATCAGGCGATTTTTCTATTAATTTTCCATATTTATACCCTTGCAGAGCAAAAGGGTATTATAATTTCAGTTAGAAGTTTGCAACGCAGTGAAGGAGACACCTCAGACCCCATAAAGTATATATATTCTTGATCAACATCACAAGTAGAATCAGAATACGTCTGTTCGTCTGTCCGTCTGTCTGTTTCTCTTCAAACTATAACTATATCATATAGCTCCCATATGATCTATAGTCGAAAATATGGAAAATGAATAGAAAAATCGTTATAGCCTCGATGTTGTTAGGCTTTATGCATTTTGTTCGACATGTTTGAGATCTGCAAGGGTATATAAGCTTCGGCTTGCTGAAGCTAGCTTCCTTTCTTGTTTTGACTATTGTTCGTATGGCAGCTATATGATATAGTTGTCCGATTTTGATGAAATTTAGTTCGTAATTCAAAAGTCGTTAGAAATCTCTATATTCCAAAAATCATGCTTTTAATTTTATTTCCGTTATTTCTATATAGATCTTTCGATCTTTCCTGTGGCAGCTATATGATAACGTTGTCGGATTTTAATGAAATTTTTTTCTCGGTTCAAGGATTATTAAAAAACTCCATATTTCGAAAATCATGCTCGTGGGATTAAAAACAAGGATGTTATAATTTTTTTTTTTAGTGATTATTTATATACATATATATTTTTCGATCTTTCCTATGGCAGCTATATTATAGAGTTATCCGATTTTGGCAAAACTCAATCCGAAATTCAATAGTAGTTAGAAAACGCCATCTGGAAGAAATAAAGTCGATCTGATCAAAAACAACGTCGTGAGAATTTTTTATTTCATTCTCTCGTATAGGAGCTATCCGATATAGTCGGCCAATCCGGCCCGTTTCGACTTATATTCTGCGTGCAATAACTACACAACTTTTAGTAAAGCTAGATAGCTTTAGAACTGAGAGACTAGTTTGAAGAGAAATGGACAGACGGACAGACGATTTCGATTCAGATCGTGAATATATACAATATACATATATACTTTATAGGTTCTGAGCTGTCTCCTTTAATGCGTTGCTAACTTCTGACTGAAATTATAATACCCTTTTGCTCTGCAAGGGTATAAAAATTACGATTTTTAAGTTACATGTACACATTTTAAAAAATAACTCAAACATTACTTGAAATTTCAAACTTTAGTCCAATTTAGAAATCGTAAGAAGTCCTAAATGTGTTTTTTTATTATTATCCGATTACATATACATAGTTCATAAAAAATAAATGGTAATTTAAAAATGCCGCCAAATTATCCGTGTCACCCTCCACACATAGCATGCAATCCGAGTTGCCAACCGATGGCTTGCTAGGTGGAGGAAGGGAATTCGAACGGTGATGCTGGTTTAGGGGAAAAGCTGGATTTTTTAGTGCAAATTCATGGTTGCCTCTTTGCATTCGGGGGGGAAGGCATTTCACCATCTGGTAACACGGCTGAAAATCGAAATTGAAAGCAGCGGCCGTGCAGGAATTGCAATGCGTGCAATTAATCCCGTTAACAATCAAGTGCCCTCTGTGCTGAGCGCGCAGATCATCGAATAGGAATCTAATCGGATCGGAAGTCGTAATTAGAACCAGGATCGGAGTCGCGAATCGAAACGGAGGATAGCCAGCCGTCGAAAGAGGCTAGTGCGATTGCAACTGGAATTGTATTTGTAATGAATGCAAACGGCTGTGTCGGTGTGTGTGCGAGTCTGGCCTGCGCTGGTGTATGTGTACGCGAGGGCCAGGAGAGCAATAATTAAATTAACAAAGGTGTTAAATTAAGCCCGTGTGTGTGTTGAATGAGTGCGTAGGTGTCGTGGCTCTCTCGCCCAGTGGACGTGTGTGCGAGTTGTGTATGCGAAGTGACAAAATTATAATAAGAACTTTTGTTATCGCTGCTGTACCCGCTGGTCTTCTCTCTTTCCCTCGCGCTGGCGGCACCTATCAAAATGGTTTAAAGAATACTAGGAAGCGTCGTACTACGAAAACGACGACGCACGACGACGGTGGGTGAATTTAGGGGGCGGCTGCCGTTTCCGGTTATTCTTCGTTCATGTGTGTGTGTGTACTACAGCGGTACTTTTTACGCACTTAAAATTCAAATCGAAAAGATACCGCCGCCTTCATTTTGATAAAGCCCCTGCAGCCTGTTGACAAGTTTCTTACCAAATCTCCTCTAAAAACAATACTTTTCTTGAAAATCCGTGTCAAAATTTCTACGCCCAAAAAATAAGAAAAATCTTGTCCGCTTTTTTTGGCTTCAATTTCTGCGCACAAGCACGAGCCTAGGTGAAAACATGTCGGCCGGGGTGTCGAGGGGCGGACGAGACGAAAAACGGCGCACGCAACTGTCATTGACCTTCAATTGCATTCGTTGAAAGCTGCAGCCGCCGCACCCAAAGGTCACAGGTTGGGATGTGTGTCATCCAATCAACCAAAATTGATCCTAAGATGTCATGCTTAGAATTATTTTCAAAAGTTTTTAGTTCAAAAAGACAGAAAATTCGCATAGAAGGCGCCTAAGTTTTTGCATAAATATTACACTTTTTCTGCACGGTATCGGATAACCATATTGCGAATTCTTCAAAAAGTTTCAATTACTATGATTCCAAAAAGTAGTTTGTGTTTTAATTGTGTTCTTTGCAGACTGTTTTAATTTCTATTATAAGATCAACGAGGTGTAGGCATCTTGATTGTCTGTGGTGTAATTTTCTATCCTTAAATTGATTAAATTCGAATCGTTTTATCAAAAAAATTTAAAAGCATAAAAAACAGGTACTGAACTTTCTTATTTTCTCTTAATAAAATCAAATTTATGTTGTCTATATTAAAAAAAAAAATCTATTTGTTTCTCATTCGTATTTCAAATCGTTTTATAAAAAAAATTTAAAAGCATAAAAAACAGGTACTGAACTTTCTTTTGGAGTCTTAATTTCTCTTAATAAAATCAAATTTATGTTGTCTATATTAAAAAAAAAAATCTATTTATTTCTCACTCGTATTTCAAATGTATATATGTATATCCTTTCAAAGGATATTATATTTTAGTCAAAAGTGTGCGACGCAGTGAGGGACACACCTCAGACCCCCAAAGTACAGATACTCTTGATCACCATCACCTGAGTCAATATACATAGTCGATATTGAGCAAAATCCATAAAGGCTAAACAATATCGAAGCTATGACGATTTTTCTATTAATTTTAGATATATTCCTCAATTGTTCCTATGACAGTCGTCCGATTTTTATGAAATTTAATTCGAAATTCAAGGGTCTTTACAAAACTTTATTTCTGTAATTCTATATAAATTTTTCGTTCTTTCCAATTACAGCTATATGATATAGTTGTCCGATTTTTATGGCTAGTTAAAAAACTTGATACTCAAAAAATTATAGTCATGATATAAAAAACAGCGACTTTATCATTTTATTTTCAATAATTCTATTAAGAACTTTCAATTTTTCCTATGGCAGCTACATGATTAAGTTGTCCGATTTGAACAAAATTTAATTCGAAACTCAATAGTAGTTAAAAATAGTACCTTATGTATCTAGTGCGGTAAGAACGAGATTACACTCGTGTGAAGTTAGCTTCCCGAGCGCAGCGAGATAGTTTTAAAGCTAAGAGACTAGTTTACATAGAAACTGACAGACGTACAAGAATTTATAAATATACTTTTTGGGGTTTGAGGTCCTTCCTTAACTGCGTTGCAAGCTTCTGACAGAATTATATTACCCTCTTTTAGGTTAAATTAAGGCAAAACAATTATCAAGCCGACACTTGAATTAAGATTTTTTATTAAATTTTGTTAGCATCGAAAAAATATATCATACAGTTCATAGGAACAATCAGACAAATCAAAAAAATGGAATAGAAAATTATTCAAATCTTCGATGTAGTGAAAAAAATATATGCATTTAACTCGAAATTTAAGAATTTTGTATAGTAATAGATCTGAAAAATTTGATCTTATAAAGATCGGACAACTATATTATATAGCTGCCATAGAAAAAAAAAGAAAAAGTTAATCGAAAGTTAATATGTATAATTAAAGAAGTATTATGTAGTACACTTTATTGCTGAAGTTCTAAGAACCGGGCTAAAAAAGGAACAACATTTTAATAGACTGAAGAAAAAACTGTAGCTTTCTTTCATGTTTAGTTTTTTAAATGTTTAGAGAAATTTGTAAACATTTTTAATAAACTAACAAATGCTTTTTTTTATATTCTCATTCATCTTATTCCCGAACCGAAAAAAATAAACATTAATTTATGGATTTTTTTCCTTTTATCAGCTGTTGCCTCCCACTTGAGTTACTTGCCACGAAAATGGAATCGGCCCTCAAGCTGAAGGACAGCAATTCCAACTGCAGCTCCAATTCAAATGGCAGTGTGGGCGGTGGAGGAGGAGGAGGGGGCGTGGCAGGAGTCGCAGGCGGAGGCGTGTGCGTGTCCAGCATATGTAGTAGCGACAGCTTTAGCATTATTCCGCCGCCGCTCCACGAGCTGGTGAGCGCGAACAGCATCGAACTGAACGCTGCGGCCTCGCTGAGCGACGACAGCGGAGTGCCGCTGACCACCAACAGTTCCATTTCCAGCGGCGACTCATACCGTCTGGGCATGTGCAAGTTCGAGATCGAGGTGAGTCCTGCGGGAGCTCTGTAACGATGATTCCCCTAATCCCGTGTGACCGATTCTTGTAGATGGTGGAGAGCGACGGCGAAGTGTCCCAGTTCGACTCTCTGGACAACTGTTCGGAGGGAGGCATGAGCGCCGAGAACTTTAACACTTTGAAGAAAGGACCGCTGGCGCCCATTGATCCGCCGCCCGAGTTCCAAGACTCACCGCAGACGACGCTGGTGCGTTCGATCTCCAAGAACATCGTAAACAGTCTCCGGCGCTGGACCTCCTCGCAGTCGTCGTTCGATCACCTTAAGGACGACGCCGCCGCCGTAGTGGACGGCCTGGTTACGACCGCACTACCGGAGGAACCGCATCCGCCGACCAGCCAGGAGTTGGTCCTGCTACTTGCCAAGGCCGAGTGCAAGCTGGATGCTCTTGATGGACAGGCGCTCGGTCAGATGAACCTCAAGGAGTCGTACGCACTCAACAAGCACCTTTACTCAAGCGATTCCATCTTGAATAACCACACGGACAACATCTACGACGAGCCAAACAACATCGTGAGCAGCTCGCTGGGCAACAGCGTCGACCTGCTCGAGGATGAGCAGTCGGAGGCCAGTAGCTGCTCGCCGCTGCCCTCGCCGCCGCCACCCGTGTCCATCGTGAAGATCAAGCAGACGCTCTGTCCGTTTTACCAGGACCACACGCGCTACTTTAAAGCCATTCCCACGGAACAGGACAGCATCGCGAGCGCTAAAGCCGCGGCAGCTCAGCAGCGCTTCAACAGCGCAGGCCTGTCGGAGATCCACGACTACGACCTGTATTACGGCGTCCGGCGGCAACCGGTGGACAACAGTAGCTTGCAGCGGCGGCAGGCCTCACTCTACAGTCCACTCGGCCACACAAGCCACTGCCACTATCACGGGCACGGGCATGGCCATGGGCATGGACAAGGGCACGGCAGTCATCACCATCACCACCACCATCATCACCAGCCGGGCTACGGCTACACCCACGGCCAAAGGCCTAACTCGCGCAACTCGCTCAACAGCCGGCTAAGCAGCTCGCACAATTCGCTGAACGTCTCGTCGACCAACAAGCCGGATGATTCGATCTTCATCACGCAGGCCATGTCCCACGACGCCCTTTTTACGCGCGAAATATCCGACTTCTACAACGTGCCCATCGACTCGGACATCTACGCATTTCCCGTTGACATGATCGAGCAGCAGCAGCTACAGCAGCAGCAACAACAGCTGATGGAGGAGCAGCAGCAGCACAAGCAGCCGATTCCCAGTTACCACAAAGCGAACAGGCGCAATAAGCGAAACAACAAGCGGAAGCAGCGCTACGCAGGAGCGGTATCGGGAACGGGTGCTGGGACGGAAACCAGCGACGGCGACGGGGAGAAGGGCAAGCATGGCAAGTACCGCACGCCCGTGGGAGTCGGCGGGGACCAGGCCAGCGAGCCGGAGCCCCTGCACATGACTCTTGACGAAGTGAAGCAGTTCTACCACACGCTCTACTCGGATACCGGAAAGTCCGCTCCGAGGCCAATGGTCAAGTCGAGCAACGAGACCATCTGGAGCGTGTCGACCAACACCACCACGATTACGGCGCGGACGCGAACCAGTGTGGGAAACACCCGTGCTGGTGCTGCTCCGCCGGGTGCTACCAGCGGGGCAGGTGGGGCCAGCAGTGACGGAGGGGTCGGCGGTGGCGGTGGCAAGTATCTCAGCAAGCAGAGCAAGCACAACCTCGACAACGATAAGCTAAACAACAACAATAACAACCAGCTATCGCAGCAGCAGCTAGAGAAGCCGTCACTTGAGCACCATATCCACATCCACAACCAGAACCAAAACCAGCACCAACCCCCGAACAACAAGCACGTCCTGCATTCAGAGAAAAAGTCGCAGTTTACGCTGAACCTAAAGCAGCGCTTTTGCAGCATTTTTCGCTTTCGGCGGAGCAACCACAGCCGCTGCCGAGGATCGGGTGGACATCAGCCGAGCAGCCTTGCCAGTGTGGCAGCGAATGCGGCTGCACCGGCACCCCTTTTTTACCGGCTGCTGTCATAACTAGCGCTCCGGCGGCCCAGGCTCAGCTGGCTGGTGAACTGAGCGGAGGTGGAGCGCCGATCACGGCGGACGCTGACGAACCGAGCGCGGATCTGCGCAAGAAGTTTCAGTCGCGCGCCCTGCCACCATTACCAAAGAAGGGTGAGTATTGCCGCCCAATTAGAGGATGCGTCTTTAGCGCCAGTCTTGTTATTCCTTCACAGCTGCAGCCTATGCCGTTGAAGCCACCAAATCGGAATTGGAGGACTCCAAAACGAACGTGGCCCAAGAGCCCCGTACATTACAATTCACCTCCAGCATCGAAAAAGTCAAAGACGTAGGTTTCCTGGCCACCCTTTTACCGAAATCAATTAACACCGTCCCGACCCTTTTTTTTTTTAGTACGGCTGGTACTGGGGGCCACTGTCCAGCGAGGCGGCTGAGAAGGTCCTCTCCAGCGAGACGGACGGCTCCTTTATCGTGCGCGACAGCTCCGACGACCACTACATCTTCTCGCTGAGCTTCAAGCTGAACAACTGTGTGCGCCACGTGCGCATCGAGCAGGATCAAGGTAAGTTAGTCTTGCCCGAATAAAGATATTAATAGAAGACCTGTATGAAAGCTTACCTCGTTCGGCCGAAGCTTAAAAACCCCTGCAGGGAAAACTAAAATATTCACTTGGGAACCATAAAGAATGCTTTGTATCTTCGGCGAGCGGGAGTTTTAAACCTTGTAGTTGGAACTTAAATATACAATAACCACTATATTCATCACAAATTTATTGTAACAAGATTGTAACGTCAGCCTTAAAGTGAACTAAATAAGACTTCTCAAGCTTTGACGAATCTTCCTCAAATATTCTCATTTCTATGGTAGCTATATAGTATAGTAGGATATTTTAATATAAAGTGTAAAAAATTATTATTTAATAAAACTTTAATTTGAACAACTTCCATTAGATCAGTAACAGTAACATTTGTAGAATGTTCATTGACTACATTTTTTTAACCATCATTTGAATCTAAAATCGGGGGGTTGATTATTCCAATTTTCGCAAGTGAAACTGACAACATTAAGGCTTCGAGTTCGGAAATAATTATTCTATTTCTTGATAGCAATTTTTCATACAAATATTCTCTATTTATCTGTCCTACTTTTGCATTTTTTACTAAAATGTTTACTGTGTTTGTTAGGATATTTATTTGTTCCTGGGTCTTTGTGTTAATATTTATCCTCCTATTTGAATTTTATTTTCTCGAAGTCATCGAAATCTGGGGTACCGGCTACGATTTTTAATGCGGTGCCTAATAAGTTGATGCTTCTAGCGTGCCTATGGTGAACATTTACTGTAGCTATGAGCAGGCCCGTCGAGAGCGAATTTCGGGCCCGGGGGGGTATAACTCACGGGCCCCCATATAATAAGAAATATTTTCGAAAATAACGAAAGTTTCAAATATATTTTATTTCTACTACTACTCGAATAATAAAGATCAATATAAAAATTCGAGTGTAATGTGAAATTTTATTTTCTGACAAAAATAAAGTGTTGCGAAATGGACACAATATTCGAGAATGGCGTGAACACAAAAGGCAAGGACTCGTAACATGACGGTTATAAAAAAAGGACTAATTTTCAAGTTATCGTCGCTATCACGGTTAGTTTTTATCCACTTAAATTCGCTTTTCGCGCTTTTGCAGAGGCAAAGGAATCGATTATTACGCTGAAATCCAACTGCCTTGCTAACTCCGCCTCCAAACATAAAATCGCCAGACCAGTTAGACGCTCTTGTGTAGAACAAGATCTGTGAAAGTTTTTAACTCGCGATAAAACACTAAAGGAGCGTTCTCCACTAGCGACACTGACAGGGAGAGTACAAAAAATTCTCAAAGCAACACAGACATTTGGAAAAAGATTCTGAAGATTTTTTGAGTACAGAGCGTTCAGCAATGCAAATGGAGGAAGGTTTTTTTCAAAATTATCTACATACACTACTGGCCAAAATAATAAGTACATAGGTATAGGTATCATTTCTTGAGTCATACCTCGAAAGATATCGAATGCAGGGCTGCTAGTTGATTATATTTTGAAAGGATATAGAGTTGTAAGACATTTAAATCAAAAATGAAAATGGGGAACCCCATTTATCCTGTGCTAAGCCTAAATTTGTTCTGGATAGTCGTTTTTGGTCTGGTCAAAATAATAAGTACACATCCATTATTCACAAATTTAAAAGGATTAAGTTTAGAATTGGACTACGGGATGTTGATTTTTAATGATTTCTTGCATTTTAAGTATATTCGGGTTACAAAAAATTCTTTAGATGGGCCGAAAAAAGCATTGTACCCTGGAAGAAAAGAAGATTGCCTCGAATCTTCAACAAGAAGGAAAAAGTCTACGAGAAATTGCGACAAGCCTTGGACGCTCAGTGTGTTCTGTTCAGAATGCCTTAAAATCGAAAGATCCTACCGAAAAACGAGGAAGGAAGAATAAATCTTCCCAAACGACGGACACCCGCATCGTCAGTCTGGCAGAAAAGGATCCCTTTATGTCTTCCAAGTCCATTGCCGCTGAAATCGGCAATGAAATATCATCTCGAACGGTTCGGAGCAGACTTAAAAGTGCCGGCCTAACAGGACATAAAGCTAGAAAAGTTCCTTTACTTTGGGAAAAAAATTTACAGATGAGGCGCCAGTTTGCACAAAATCATTTGGCATGGCCTGGACCAGAAGGTTCTAAAAAATGGATCAATGTGTTATGGAGCGACGAATCAAAAATAAACCTTTTTGGTAACGACTCTAGACGTTATGTACGATGCCCAAAATGTAAAGAATTCGACCCCCGGTACACAAAGAAGACCGTTAAGCACGGAGGCGGATGCATAATGGTTTGGGGCTGTTTTTCTTGGCATGGCGTTGGTCCGATACATCGAATAACTGATATTATGACCCGATTTGGGTATAAAAGTATACTCGCTGCCGTTATGCTACCATGTTCTGAGGAAAACATGCCTTTGAGATGGGTCTTTCAACAAGACAACGACCCAAAACACACCTCAAAGCTGGTCAAGGCTTGGTTTACCGAAAACGGAGTAAATCTTATGAGTTGGCCAAGCCAGTCTCCGGACTTCAATCCGATTGAGAACCTATGGGAACACTTAAAACGTCGTATCGGCACAAATACTTTTCAAAATTCCGAAGAATTGTGGACATTTGTCCAAAAAACCTGGTATGACATTCCACTTGTCGTCTACTTGTCTACTTGTCGCAAGCGTATTGCTAATATGCCAAAACGAATCGCCAAAGTTGTACAAAATATGGGTGGCTATACTGGATACTAGTTATAGATTAAGGAAATCAAGAAAATGTTGAAAAATTGTTGTTAAGTTTTGAGTTCTTGAGTTTGTAGAATTGGTGTACTTATTATTTTGACCAACCCTTTTTTATGTTTTTTTGATATAATCAACCACAAACTATATAAATGAATTGAAAAATGCCTATGTTAACTATTTTTATAATCTTATATATATATAAAAGCTATAAGTAAAATTGAGTTTTTCTTTATGATCATTAAAAAAGTTTTACGAGAAGTTAAAGAAACCGTACACGGGTGTACTTATTATTTTGGCCAGTAGTGTATATATGTTTGAGGTAAACGATTTCATCTTTCAACTCTTCGGAAACATCAGCTACGTACTTCTTCGTGAATTCTACGGCAGACGTCTGAAGAGTATCTTCGTCCAACGTGGTGAATTTCCATAAAAAAGAAACACTTCGTTCAAATTTTTTACTGCTTTGAATCTTTTTGTCATTCCTGCAATGACCAAATCGATGATGGTGAAGAAATGGCTGGTCTTGAATTTTTCTTCTTCAGAAGTGATGTCGGTTTCTGGACTTGCGTCATCATCATTCAAAAATACATTCGCACGTTTTCTTTTTCGAATTGTTGGTAAAGTTTCAGGAATGTTCCACCCTCTTGCAACAAGTTTACATTCACTCAGAATGAGATCCCATCGATTTCGTATGAACTGCCAATCTGAAAGGAGACCCTTTAGATTGTCAACTTCAACGTCTATAGTAGCTCCTCTTGCTTGAAGGACGACGTTTCTCTCATTAACAGCACCCAAAATTTTGAACCAATTCGACGACATCAAGATACATTCGAACGAATTCATGTATTTTTGAATACCGTTGATGTCCCGGAGAGTCTCTGCAGTCAAATTGAGTTCCTTCACTTCGTCAAGTGCTTCTTGTATTCCAGAAAGGTGTTTCGCGAACGGTTTAACGGCGTCAAGTCTTGCAGACCATCGCATATCTTACAAACTGTGAAGGGAAGAGGGAATTTTCTTTTGAAGGAGTTCCCATCGTTGAGGGCTTGTACTGAATATGTTATAACATTTCTGAACGATTATGATTATGTTTTGCTGAACGCAACCAATGTAACGATCATAAACAAAAAAATCATTTAAACAAAATAGAAGCGATTCTGGCAACAGTGATCATTTCTAAGGCTCCACATCTTAGTGATTTTTTTAAAATATCGCGGAGCACTTTTTTGTACACAGTTTATTTGAGTTTTCGCCAAAAATCCGGGCCCCTCTCCGAAGTCCCGGCGCGGGGGAAACAATTAAATTAATAAATTTGATTGAATAAATTGAATAAATTTGATTGAACAATTGTTGTAAATTTTGGACTTGGAGATTCGAAAAAGTGGATTTTCCAACGAAAATGACCTGAAGATTTTTTTACTGCAGAAGTGGGCTAAAATACCCGTTAAAACAACTAGAAAAATATTGAAATCTTTATATTAATTTAAAGCCCCTAACAAACGGATAGGAGGTAAAAAAAGTTTAAAAATTAAGAAATAGTTAAGTTATTGAACATTAAAGTGCTTGCACGAAATAAGCTTCGACGTCAGAAGTGCCTCGTTTTTTTTTATTTTTATATGAAAAGTTGTTTTGTTTTTGTAGATTAGTAAATTTTTTTTTGTCATAATAGTTAATAAAGAGTTTTTTAAATTACTGCGTTTAAATTTTTTTGATATCTTTTCTAGTTTGGCAGCAATGTCGATTTGAAATTTTATTTTGTTCTTGCACGAAATAAGCTTAGAGCCACTGTACGTGGTAATTATGCATATATCTCAAGGAAAAAAAAAATTACTATTTTTAGTGAATTTATTAAAAGTTTGGTTTTTTTATTAATTTCAAGGTATGCATTACAAAAAAAATTAATGTTTGTGACCGGTCTATAAATGTGTAGCTCATAAAACGTAGTGACAATTCAGTGTATTAACAACGAGCCCGGATTAGCGTACACCTGTCTTTCGTGGAGAAGAACTTACCTGATTCAAGTGGATTCAGTCTAACTCTTTTATTAGCCGAAAGTGTGAATCAGTGGCGTCCAATGTGTGTAATATGAACTGCTAGTACCTGCTAGCCTTCAAACTATGGTACTTTTAAGGCACAATGTCAGTAGCAAAAAGGGATCTTTTTTAGTATATTTTAGTATTTTTACTATGCCGCCGTCTGATTCCGATGATTCTGAATAAAATTCTAGCCATTTTTAAATTATGTT